GAGCAGGTTAATGAGACAAGAGTCTTCCTCGTTTCGGTTCTCTGTGAACTGTTTTTTCCAACATGTTTTTATCTTTGCTCTGGGGAGTTAGGAGTTCATTGTTGCTGGAATTGGTTAGACCGAAAGGGAGAGAGAAATTATCTCTTCTGAATATTCGCATAAAGAAAATGGTCAGTTTTGCAGAATTCATGAGGCTTTACAAATAATCTTTTGTTCTGACGTTATGTATAAAGGTGGATTACATATGTGGATTTCAAGAGTGCTGATAGGGGGTTTATAAGTAGATAATTAGTGACATTGAAGGTAAAGCACTTGAAACAAAAGTTATGGGAAACACAAGGTGTGTATAATGTAACCACACTTTGAGACATGAAACAAAGCTCCCTGGGCCTTGGGAGGAAAGATTGTTTTGTGTCTATGTCCCTGATCCGCCACTCTGCACAGGCTCCACACAACTTGCACCTTATGGCTCAAACCCAGGACCACTGTCGAAAAGTTAAGACCCCCTAAACTAATTTACTGTAAAAAACGTTGAGGTCTGCTGCAAAGTTTTCCAATTTTTTGTTTACTTGTTCATCATTGATGTAAGTTGGCCGACACCTCTCACAAAGCAACTTAAGGCTTCTTTCATAATGCAGGCTTGAGTTCTCAAACATTTATCCCAAAGTCTGCAGCAGACAGCTGGATACAGTGCTGTTGTAAAAATGAGACATCCATACACTTTAGTTCCTTAAAATTGGATCTCTTTCGGAATGAAAAAGACAAGCCAATAGAGAAAGACTTTGTGTTCCCACCCCAGTGCTGAAGTGTAAGGTCTGAAAAATAGAGAAGGAAAGAAATGCACTTTCAGAAGCTGAATGCAGTGTCTGCTACAAAAGGCTGTACGTGTAGGGGAGGTGGATACATGCCTCTGGGTTCCAGTCGTGCATCGTCTGCAGACGGAATACTTTCTAGATAGGTGAACTAGTGCAGGCTGGTTGGGTTTAAACTGCGAAACACGGTTGGAGATAACGTGGGGGGTGGAGGGTGAAGTTGAAGGAATAGACTTTGCAACATTGGCTTTCTACAACGTAGAAGGTGTGGTCTCCCCCAGGTCAGGTGTGCGGGGTGGAAGACTTCTTCCAGCTTCTTTCTTTGCTTGTAATGGAGATGCATGCATTTCACCCACGGAAGTCGCTCTGCAGGAGCACCCTTCTCCACGGCAGACGATTCATCCTCCTCTGTGGAGCGTGAAGGTTAGGTGCGTGAGTGTGGCTGCTCTACACGCATTCCGAGGAGCTGTTTAACCTCATTTCTAACTCGTGACTGAGTAACTTGCTTAACTTTCTCAAAAACCCTTACAGAGTTGCCAAGGTCTGCCCTCCTCCTCTCCAGTAACTGTGAACTCTGCTTAGATCCGGGACCGGATTAGCCTAGGGTGGACCCCCTTGAACAATGCCTACTGAATGTGGCCTGGCTTAACGTACTGCAAAACTGAGGGCAAATTGCAATCTTCTCTTTCTTTTCGTTGCAAGGGTTTCACAGGTTCTTAAATCTGGTTCCAGCCACCCTTAGCTTGGGGCTGGCAGCTATGTTTACCCCACCCACCCAGTTCCCATGGCTGGCACACATCAACTTCTGTAGCTGCCTTTTCCCGGGTGTAGAGGCCTTCCCCTTCCCCTCTGCAGCCTCAGGCGTTCTGTTTATATTCGGACTTGGGTAGAAGGAGACACAGGCTCTTCAAGCTGACTGCTGTACACATTTTACTTTTTCGTCCTTTGACATGACCAAAAATCAAATATTTAAGTATTTATTATTAGGTTAATATTTATTATTTGAAATCTTGTTCCAATGGCTCTAGAAGCTGATCCCAGCCCTTTCACCTTTCTTTTTAGTTTTCCCAACCTCAATTCCCACCCCAGTGTTGAAAAGTTAGCAGGTCACACTACGTGCTGCTATCAGCAGGGGAGGTGGTTTCTTTGTTTTGTTTGTTTTTTAAATTTCCAGCCAAAACAAATTTCTTAAATGGATTGTATGAAATCAAAACAAACAAAAAACCAAAGAAAGGGAAGTCTTCAGCATCATCCAGTCTGTGGCGTCCTGGCACTTTGGAGGAGGAGAGGGCGGGGCAGGGGGAGCTTGCTGATCGAAGGGCAGGCGCGCTGCTCGCCACTCCAGCTTCCGCAGGTGCGTGCTCAGTAGCTCTGGCCTTGACCGACTGTGAGCATGCATGAACAAAATGGATTGGTTTTCCCAAAGCAAAAGAAAACCGTCACCACTGGAATCCACCTACAACAACCAGGGGCACCGCCAGGGGACTCAGCACAGGACTAGGAGGGTGGAGCCACTCTGGGGCTGGCGAGATACAGGAGTGGGGAATCGAAGACATGGGTGCCACGATGGCTGCTCTGTGGGTGCTCTACTCTGGCTGGGCGAATGACGCCGGGCCCTTCTGAGCCTTTTTCTCTTTTCCTTTACTGGAACTGCTTGGGAAGTGGGGCCGTCCGTTTTGTGGGAGAAAACATGCAGAAGATTATCAAGCTTTTCATTTTCTCTTTATTGTAGTTTTGTTTCCTTTTGCACACACTGTCAACTATGCATATTTCCACAAACCTTTTGTGCTTGCTAAGGCTGGTAGATGTGTGACTTTTTAAGGTTCTCTGGGGACTCTGGTCGGATGGTGATTGATCATCGAAAACTGAAGCTGAGCTGGTCTCTCCACAGACAGACGTGAGATCACATGATCTTTTAATCCCAGTTGATTGTGGGAGGGGTATGTTGTTCTAGTCTTAGGAACTGCTCTTTTATGTCTTCCTAGATTCCATGTTATTGAAATGCTTGTCTTGGCGCCTGAAGTCTTCATAATGGTAGTGACTGTGTTTCTCTCCTATTATCTTCGATCCTTCGTATCTGCTATGATTATTACAAAGATATACATATATCTTTCTCATGCGCCTTATGTAATCATTATGACTTGGTCGATACATGTATTAATGGTTTACGAGAATAATTGAAATCGGCAGGCACTTAGTAATTCAGGTCGAGCTCATGCACTTCTCCTCCTCTCTCGGCTCCTAGGTTGTCCTTCTGTTTGCTTTAGGGATGAACTATTTTGTGATATTAAAAGATGAGAGAGGTGTGTCTGCTTGCATACAACTTTCTTTTGTTTTGGTTTCGAACGATAGAGTGGTAATGATCTTTATAGAGTACATGTAGCATGAAAATTGACTGATCGATTTATATAGATAGCTTATGAAAGTACATAAGTTACAAATTGAGTGGTTTTTTCTGTTGATGTTTGTTTGGGGTGTCTACAGGCTTCATGTATTATAGCGATCAAATCGCTCAGTATTTTTCTAATGCCTAGAGGATGCATTCAAGAATGTAAAAATGAATGGAACAAAGAATGTACTGGTAAGGCTGTAATATCAATACTGATTGCTCATTCAATCATTATAGCATCCCTTTACCGCCAGAGTGTCAAATATTGGAATTGGCCTATTCTGTTTGTTCCCAGTTGATTTTGTTTTGTTTAAAGAGACACGTGATCGTGATCCCGTTGTTTTTCTTACAAGCATGTTTTTCATTTCTCTGTCTTCCTCAATTATATTTCCTGCTCACTCCCTACCCTCCATTGGTCATACCCTTGTACTTTCTTTTCTTTTTCATTCTGTTTCTTTCCATATAGGTTATGCTCTATTCAGTAATAATCTAGGTGATGTATATAGTTTGCAATTGTCCGACTGTTTCTCAATAGTAGGGTGGTCGCAGATCATCAAGGACAATGAGCTTGCGCTATCCCTGATCATCTGTTTATAATCTGGTATCTATTTCCAGTAGTTACATGAGTGTAGTTTGGAAGTGGTCTGTCCTCATGTGTGAAAATATTTAAGATGTGGTGTAATAATGATTACTTTCTCAAATAATCTGATTCCTATGCATGCTTTTGTGACTCAGAGGCGTTCACTATGGCTGCAAGGCATTTAAGCGTAGCGCGTGGGTCGTCAGCCTTGTGTAATCCTTTCACGCTACCTCATTAACTCTGGTGTCGTTCCTTAAGCGATACACTTGTCTGTTCGCTACCATTAAGTGCTGGGATACAGGCATGTTGCCACCGCTGGGTCGGCTATTCGTGTATTGTCACATCACTCTTCCATAGCCTGATTTAGACCATTCTCTCGCTGCTCCCATAGGATAAATATTTTTTGTTTAAGTATTTATAGTAGAGACGGGGTCTCACTCTTGCTCAGGCTGGTTCGAACTCCTGACTCAAGCAATCCGCCCGCCTCGGCCTCAGGAGTGCTTGTCAGATAACTTGAAATTGTGACCTGAGCGGAGCCTTCATGTATTCTGTGCGGCCTGCGGGAAGAGCACAAGTATTTTTCTATTGGTTCTTTAAATATTAACCTGAAATACACATTTTAGCTAATCTTTCTTTACATATTTGGTGGAATTTAGCTGATTGGTTATCTCCTGATGGCCTGGGATTTCTTTTTTTTTTTCTTAGAAAATACCAGCAGAATTATTAAGTGAATATTTATTGAATAAGCAAATGAATGATTTTTACATTGTCGTACTTTGTAAAATGGGCCTACTGTGTAGAGGATTCAAGGGGCTACACATGGGAAGGGCTTGCCCAGTGTCTGGGCCCTGGTAAACCCTCAAAATGGTTGCTACTTTTGATATTCTGGGGGCATTTCTAGATCTTGATGATCCTGGCATAGGGCCAGGCAGCATTTAGAGTCTGACACTGTGTTTATAAAACTTAGGCTTTCTTCAAAGCTCTAGCTGGTAAAACTACAGGTTTTTCCATCAGCCTCTGTATCTCGGGACAGCCACTCCCCCAAATTATGGGGCCTTTGGGAAATCTTGTGAACTGCTGATAGTATGTCTCTAGTCCTTGTCTTCAGTGCAAACTATTTCCACTATTTGCAATTTTTCAGAGTGCTGCTTCTTTCACAACGATTCTGGGGCTCTATGTTTGAAATGTTCTTATTTCTTTTCTCTTACATGCTGTTTAGTAATCCCAGCTTTTCTCGAACAAAACCTTCACAGTGTGTTTCCAGCTCCACTTCCTTCTGCCATGGAGTGGAAATTCTGATGGTTTTCCCCACGGGGAACTTGATGCAGCCGGCCTGGTTGTAACTGTGGCTGGCCCAGGTGAAGCCTTCTGAAAAACCCACGTTGCTGAGAGAACTTCTGAAACGTAAAATGTGAAAAGTATTTTCACAGCGCCGCCCGCAGAGCTCCCATCCCTGGATTATTTAAAATGCTTTTAGGAAATGGAACATTTCTGGGGCCCTTTTTAGGTCAAGATAAAAGTTGTGTCTTGAGTTCCCATGTTTTGTCTATTTAATGTCACGCATCTGGACATTTGGAAAAAACCAGGTGACCGGCCACATGGGTGTGCTGGCATTCTGTGGGGTTTTAGGAGCATTCTTTTGTAAAAATAATGTGTGGCTTTTTAGACTTTAAAATGATGTATCCCAGAATTGGTCAGAAAAATATAATACCTTTGTCATTTTCATTGGGAGGGAAAAAATCCATCTTTTTGCTCTGGGAAGAAGAAAGTGCTACAACCAAGTTAACAGAGTGAAAACTTTAAAAGAAATTTCCTTCATGGAATAGTCTTATAACCTTCATAGGCGATACATTCTAATAATTTAAAATCCCACTTGTAGCATTTCAGCTTTAGACATCAATGGGATCCCTTTTGGGGACCCAACCTGCTCCAAGGTCAAAGGAAACCCAAAAATGAGACCGGCTGTGGGTTGGGGCTGGGGTTGTCAGATGCTATCTATGCATGTGGGGATTCTGTGGACACTTGGTGCTGATTAAAAATGTAGAGACCAAAAAAAAAAAAAAATTACAGTTCAGTTTTATATAAAAAAAAAAAAAATGTAGAGACCACCCTCCGCCAAGATTCTGACTTAGGTACCTGGGGTATGAGATAAGGTCAGAAATCTTCATGCATGTGAGCCGTAGAAATTTATTGGGTTAGTGTTGCTTAAGCTAATATTTACAGAGCACTGTTCTAAGAGCTTTGCATCTCTTTACTTAATCCTCACAACAACCCTAGGGGCCAGGTACCCTTATCATCCACATTTCATAGGAGAGCAAGCTGCTTAGGGTTACACGGCTCACTATGACAAAGATGCAGGGATGACAAGATGACCAGGCATATAGATAATAGGACCACTTAAAAAGAAGTGGGCACACCCATTAGGATGGCTGTTATTTAAAAAGTGGAAAATAAGTGTTGGTGGGATGCAGAGAAATAGGAACCCTGGTGCATTGCTGATGGGATTGTAAAACGGTACAGCTGCTATGGAAAACAATTTGGAAATTCCTTTAAAAATTAAACATAGAGTTACCATATGAACCAGTAATTCCCCTCCTAGGTTTAGACCCCAAAGAATTGAAAGCAGGGACACCAATGGATTGGTATACACCCATGTTCATAGCAGCATCATTCACCATAGCCAAATGGTGAAAACAACTCAAACGTCCAGGGACTGATGAATGGATAAACAAAATGCGGTATATCCACACAATGGAATACTATTCAGCCATGAAAATGAATGAAAATCCAACTCATGCTGTAGCGTGGATGAACCTTGAAAATACATGCCGAGGCGGGCGGATCGCTCAAGGTCAGGAGTTCGAAACCAGCCTGAGCAACAGTGAGACCCTGTCTCTACTATAAATAGAAAGAAAATAATTGGCCAACTAATATATATATAGAAAAAATTAGCTGGGCATGGAGGCGCATGCCTGTAGTCCCAATCTACTTGGGAGGCTGAGGCAGGAGGATGGCTTGAGCCCACGAGTTGGAGGTTGCTGTGAGCGAGGCTGACTCCATGGCACTCTAGCTGGGGCAACAGAATGAGACTCAGTCTCAAAAAAAAAAAAAAGGTTAAAATGGTAAATTTCATGTTATATATATTTTCCGTAAGTATTTTTTAAGTTAATTACGTAATTACATAAATATATTTTAAATAACATATTTTACTTAAAAAGAAAAGAAAAAAAAACAGAAAGAAAGAAATGGCAAAGGGAAAACACCAGCCCAAAGAGAAGAGACGGTGAGGCACAGTGACTTTGGATTTGATTCAAATTCTTATCTCAGCTCTTGGCATTTTATCCAGATAATTGTCTTCATTATTCTCCATTTCAATGTGTACATAGACACATCTGGGATGACTTTAGAGGGCTATCACTAAGTCCATCAAATGTTTATCTTTCAGTATAGAATAAATGTGTTATTAATATTAAAAAACATTAAAGACATTTTTAGATACTACATTTCTAACAAGTTTCGAGCAATGCGTTAAAGTGAAGAAAGTCCTTCTGATTCTGGTGGGGGGGTCCCACCGTGTCGCTGTGACTATGGTGGGCGTCCTAATGGCTCATTCATAAATACAGGCACCTCGGTTACTGGCTCATCACAAGCACGTGTTATTGGAAACAGAATATGCAACCTTGACCTCCAAATGATGAGTCCTTGCCAATTCGCCCGAAAGAGCAACTTGTGGACCGTGTCCAGCCATGGGCTGTGGTTTCAGCAAAGACAGCAATGACATTTCACAAAGTGGAGTTTGTTGTTCAACTCTGCTGAGGATGAGCAAAGTTCACAAGAGCTCAGTTCAAGATGTGTAATCAGATATGGGCACGAAAGAATTAATACGGACCAGTCCACAGAAAGTTCTCGTGCATGGGCACCGAATTCATCGTGAGCCATGATGTTCAGAAGACGGGCTTCGTGACTCAGGGGTGAAGGAAAGAACTCTGGTTGATAAAGGGCATGATTGCATTGAGAAAGATTTAAACTATATCCTGGTAGGGCTGATGTTAGGAATAATAAAACTTAATGATGGCTTCTAGTAAATACGGTTTGCCACATGGCAGTTAAACAAACCCACGGTGTTGCCATCCTTGCATCTAAGACACCTGCCAAGTCTTTTTCAACAGTTCAACTGAAGGAGCAAGGAGCTGCTCTTTGAGTCAGTTTATGACTTCTTAATGCTAGGGCCAACATCTAGATAGCTCCTAACCGCCCATCAGCAATAACTTAGGAAACCCTTTCCCCTAAAGACTTTTGTGTAGGTAGGTGTGAATTACTCTATCTGGTTGACTAAACGGGCAACTTCAAAACTGTTATCTGTTTTTTGCTCTGAAGTTGTCCCTGCTGCCTCTCTGTTCAAGGATGTAGGGAAAGTGGAATAATATTCACTTGTCAAATCTCTGTAGATCTTATCATTTCACTTCCTTGTTTAAAATGGCCCCCTATTCATTGTTCTTATAAAACCTTATTTATGGATTTTTGCTTACTCACCTACATATTTTCTCCTTCTTTAATCTTTTCTTTTTTTTACTGATGTATAATACTTATACATGTTTATAGGGTACATGTGTGATATTTTGTTACATGCATAGAATATGTAATGATCAAGTCAGGGTACTTGGGGTATCCATCCATCACCCCGAGCATTTATCATTTCTGTGTTGAACATTTCAAGTCCTCTCTTCTAGCTATCTTGAAATTAAAAAAAAAAAATCTGTTGTGGTTAACGATAGTCACCCTACTCCGTTATCAAATATGGAAACCTAATCCTTGTATCTAACTGTTTGTTGTGTCCATTAACCGACCTTTTCATTCTACCCTGCACCCACCCACCCTTCCCAGCCTCTGGTAACCATCATTCTACTCTCTGTTCTATGAGATCAACTTTTTTTTTAGCTACCACATCTGAGTGAGAACATGTAACATTTGTCTTTCTGTGCCTGATTTATTTTATTTAACATAATGACCTCCAGTTTTGTTCCTGTGGCTGCAAATGACAGGATTTGCTTGTTTTTATGGTTAAGTAGTATTCCATTGTGTATATGCACATTATCCTTTGCCATTAGTCCACTGATGAGCACTTAGTTTGATTCCATGTCTTTGCTATTATGCATAGTGCTGCAATAAACATGGGGTGCAGGTATCACTTCCATATACTGATTTCCTTTCCTTTGGGTGAATACTCAGTAGTGGGATTGTGGGATCATGTGGTAGTTCTGTTTTCTGTTTTTTGAGAAATCGCTGTATATTTTCCACAGTGGCTTTACTAATTCACCTACTGTGTTTCCCCGAAAATAAGACATACCCATAAAATCAGCCCTAGCAGGATGTCTAAGCATTGTGCAATATAAGCCCTACTCTGAAAATCAGCCCTAGTGCTGGGCGTGGCTATGAAAATCAGCCCTAGTGCTGGGCGTGGCTATTAAAATCAGCCCTAGTGCTGGGCGTGGCTATGAAAAATCAGCCCTAGTGCTGGGCGTGGCTATGAAAAATCAGCCCTAGTGCTGGGCGTGGCTATGAAAATCAGCCCTAGTGCTGGGCGTGGCTATGAAAATAAGCCCTAGCGATGGGCGTGGCTATGAAAATCAGCCCTAGTGATGGGCGTGGCTATGAAAATCAGCCCTAGTGATGGGCATGGCTACGCAGCACATCTGCACAACCCATGCATGTCGTCGAGGAGCGGGAAAGAACACGAGCAGCCCTTCTCATCTGCCCCATGAGAGCTCTAGTGCTCGACAGGAGAGATCGGGGCCAGTGGTTCTAAAGAAAATAGAGTTGCAAGACATTCAGGATGGGATTCGGGGTTTGGAGAGTGAGGATGATGTTCCAGAAGAAGATGACTTGACTCTATTTAAATCAATGTAGATTGTTGTACCGTACTTAATAAAAATAACACATCCCCTGAAAATAAGCCCTAGGGTGTCTTCTTGAGGAAAAATAAATATAAGACTTGTCTTATTTTCAGGGAAACACGGTACCCACCAACGGTGTATAAGAGTTCCCTTTTCTTTGCATCCGCGCCAGCATCTGTTATTTTTTTTTGTCTTTTCATTAAAAGCCATGCTAACTGGGGTAAGATGATATCTCACTGTGGTTTTCATTTGCCTCTCCCTGAGTGTTAGTGATAGTGAGCCCTTTTTCATATACTTGTTGGACGTTCATGTGTCTTCTTTTGAGAAATACCTATTCAAATATCTATTCATCTATTCATTGTTCCTGTAAAGCTTTAAATGTTTACGCAGGCAGGCCGGCTAGGCCTCACTGGCGTGAGTCCCTGTCTAGCCTTCGGGGCCTGCTCATGATACAAGCCTGTCCTTACCCCTGGTCCTGCCTGCGACCGCCACACCAGCCTGCTTGCCAGCTCTGAACTGACCTAACGCCCTGCAGCCACAGGGGCTTTGCCAGCGCCCGTCTTTCTGCCCAGAGTACTCTTGCCGTCAGTTTTCACTTGGCTACATCTTACTTCACTCCTCAATTGATATGTCACTTCCTCA